AATATTAATTATAGCAATAGCCGTATTGTTCAAGACGAGAGAAAGGAAATTTCGTGTGAATCACCACTTGCATGGAGACTCAGACGCCTAGATGCAGCTTGGATGTAGCTTTGCCTGTAGTTGAAAATCTCCAGAAATATCGGTATATCTTAGAAAACATAGACGTGATCTTCATAGATTTTAGCTGATTCGTGCCAAACTTCGCTCTACACATAAATAATATCGATTGAGAAGTCCTTTGGCTATTTATTTGTTTCGAAGACTTGTATATTTCATTAAAGAATATCTCGCCACTCCTTGACGAGTAGCTGTCAAATACTGCCAAATTTTGTCGTCACGTGACCGGCCCGGACCAGGGCTTCCTCGCGTCTCGCCTCGTCCTCACACTGGAGCCCTGGGAACGAGGTTGTACATCCATATTTAAAACAAACCTTCATGAACGTGGGCGTCTTTGCTCTCTTCTTTATTTATTTTATTTATTTATTTATTTAAAATATTTTACAACGATAACCCTTCAGAATCTACACATATCTGTTTTTCAAGAGGTCTTTGAACAATAACACATGGAGTTACAAAAATTACATCCACACACAGCTACTACTATATTATACAAATACTTAATTATGTTAAAAATATTTACAAGACTCAGCGACGGTCAAGAATAGACTTAAATTTTGTTACACCAATCCCTTTCTCTTTTGCACATTTTGGCAAGTCATTCCAAACTGAAGCGGCAGAATAGGTAATACTTTTCTTCATAAAATTAGTTTTTGGTTTCTTTAAAACAAAATCTGTATTGTTGTTGCGTAAATTATGATTTGAATTGTTTTCATTTCATATTTACCAATCATTGATAGTGGCAGTTTAATATTATTTTTAACGTTAATTGTCTGTTCCGGAAACGATCCTTCTAGGGTAGCCAGTCCAGTTCACTTAAGGTTACAGGACACTGCGCGCTCCGATTTTCATTAAATTTTCACCAAATGATGCTTGTGATGTTACTCTGAGTGTATATCCACACTGCGCAAGCTTTAAAATATGCCTGACCACGGTAGGAATCGAACCTACGACCTTTGGAATACTAGCCCACTGCTCTGCCAACTAGATTACATTGATATCGAAGGAACTAGATTCTGTTCCGAAATATCACATATTCGAACCGACCAGACCGCGTAGCTCAGTTGGCAGAGCATTGGGCTAGTATTCCAAAGGTCGTAGGTTCGATTCCCACCGTGGTCAGGCATATTGTCAAGCTTGCCCGGTGTGGATATACACTCAGAGTAACATCACAAGCATCATATTCACCTGAGTACATTACACGAACACAGAAAAAATCATGATTATTAGATTACACTGATATCGAAGGAACTACAATCCTGGAAAAAAATTAGTAGACTTTTTCAATTTCTCAACGTTTCCCCCTTCCCCCCTACACAATGTTGCTATTTATGCGGTGTATGTTGGAAAATGACTTCATTTTATTCAACATTGTTGCGGGGGAAGGGGGGGGGGGGGATTTAGCATTCAAGATAATTCACTAAGTTATTTAGGCGGAAATGTACGATTTTAACACTTCATAATGTATTTTTGTGAAATTAACAGATAGTCTCCATATATTTTTTCCAGGATGGTAGATTCTGTTCCGAAATATCACGTACTCGAACCGACCAGACCGCGTAGCTCAGTTGGCAGAGCATTGGACTAGTATTCCAAAGGTCGTAGGTTCGATTCCCTCCGTTATCAGGCATATTTTCAAGCTTGCCCGGTGTGGATATACACTCAGAGTAACATCACAAGCATCATATTCACACGAGTACATTACACCAACACAGAAAAAATCATTTTCACCAAATGTTAGCCAGTGCATGCAAATATGGTAAAGTTTTAAAATTGACAAACAATAAAATAATGTAAGAATTATTCACGAAAATCTTAAGTCGCGGTACCTTTACGCTTTTGAGTTATGTTCGGTACGCTGGTTTTAAGATATATTTATAAAAATAACATTTTTATACAGTAAAATAGTTCCAAAAAATTGTGTTCGGAAATTTTTTTTATTTCGTCATTCCGCTGATATGGCGATTTCTTTGACGACTGCAATATATTTCTTAATCGCTTGTTCTGAATTGCTCTTTATTATTAAAATATCCAAAATTAGAACAAAGCAAAATACAATTTTGAAACTGACTTCTTTGGCTATGTCCTGTGATAATTTGAGAAAAATTCGTTAAAACCCGCAGGAGCACAACTCGTTTAAAAATTAGTAATTGCCGTAAAATTCTTCGGGAGAAAATTGAATTTGAATATTACATTTTCAATGTTTTTCTTATTACAAGCGAAATGTATTTTATTAACTAACTCTACGAGTTTTCAACATTTTTCGTCCAAACTTGGTAAGATAGTAGAACTAGTCTAATGCTTTCATGAAAACCAATAAAAAAATTTTAGGCTAAATTAACACTCAAAGGTGTTCTGTAACGTTAATATGTTTTCGGAACTTATCTCGTAACTACTGCCAGTGGCGTAGCGCTCATTGATTAGGGTTAGTTCAAAAACTAAGGGCCCCCGACAGTTAGGGGCCGCATCAACCACGGTCTATCGCACAGAAAATTAGAAAATGTAAAAAATGCAGGTGAAGAATCAATGGAAAAATGCGAAATTAATAATGCTAAATAACGAAGCCTCCATCGAAGAGGGTAGCTGATTTTTTTATTCCTACTCATATTAAACAAAAGTTATTCTTAAAAGTTGTTACATATGTTGGCGACTGTTACTGTCATTGTTATAGACACAGAATTTTCTTGAACATTCTATAAATGTTCAATATAAATATAATATCTCAGTCAAACAATGACAACAGGGGCCCACACACCGAATATGCCTAAGGGCCCCCTCTTCCTCCGTTACGCCACTGACTGCTGCCAGTGATTACTCGTGCCGCTCTGTTTTGTAATTTTTGCATTGTGAGCAATTCTTTCGCCTTTTTCTCAAATAGCTTTTGAAATTTACACAATCTAATCGGTCAATCTCTTGCAAAAATGAAATATATTTGTAAGGAATGAAGAAATGTTGGCTATTTTGCTTCGTCATGCAGTCGTTATAATGGAAATTTTAAATTGGACCAATCAGTGTTCGCTATTCACGAAGTCGCTATATTTTGAGATCAGTGAGGATGACCACCCACACAGTGACCCACGCCCGCGGTTATTCATTATTGACTAGAAATACATGCGTGCAACGACCCCTCGCCTATATTTTCCAAACATTGTTTCAACATGAAGTATTCGTATAATTATACCATCACTGAACGCAGGCTCGCGTTGCACGTCATGTTAGGCAACACGATAATTGTCATGTTTTTTAAACTTTTTGTACAAACCTACAAAAAAAATAAATGAAACTTGAACACTTTTAGATACAGAACTATCAACTTATAAAATATATAAAGTCGGTATATTATTTTGCTTTCTATGTGCTTTATTTTAATGTAAAATTCAAAACAAACTCTATGTAGAACTTTTTTTAATTAATTTGTGAATTGAAATTAATTGTTTTTTGCCGATTTTAAGCTAATAAACTTTTCAACTGGAGCTTCAACTCATTTTTCGCGCTTTGAATTGAAATAAATTTAATTCGTACATGACTCTTATTATGAACATAATTTGCTTTCCTTTTTATCATGAACTTCTACAAAAGTTAATTTAACTAAGAATCTTTCTCATACAATGCACAGCTAGGAAAGGCTGACTTGAGCAACAAGAACAAAGTCTATATTTATTTAATAATACAAAGTCTATTTAATGACATAAACAATTGAAAGAAAACTTGCCCTATACTTCAGGATTTCTCATACTACATCAATTCTTATAAATATTTAAGTTTAAGAAATGAAAAAGTTTTAAAATTTGTCATGTCAAACGATTTTCAAGGTTTCTTACATATATTTTTTAATTTTTTGCCTTCTTCACTTCTGGCAAACAGTCGTATTTTGAGATCAGTGAGGTGACTACCCACGCACAGTGACCCACGCCCGCGATCATTGATAAACTTTAGACTTCGCTAATGCTTTCCTTTCCCCGGGTGTAAATAGCCGGGCGGAATTAGTACCCTCGCCCCGGGCTTACGCCTGGAACGGCGCTCCTTGCCGTTGGCTCGGGGATGGAATTTAGACTTCGCTAATGCTTTCCTTTCTCAGGGGGTAAATAGGCAGGCGGAATTAGTACCCTTGCCCCGGGCTTATGCCCAGAACGGCGCTCCACACCGTTGGCTCGGGTATTATTCAGCTCGCTCCTCAACGGGGCTTTTCAGTGACCGATAAAACCATGTATTACGCTTACGTGTATTACTTACTTATTAGCCTCGACTAATTATCTTTACAACAATTGTGATATTACTTCCTATAACTTATGTTTATCCCAACCCACACTATCAACTTTCCCTGTATGTGAGAGGAAACCTCTCAGCGCCGGAACTGCAATGATTGTGTTTCCTACTATGATACTGGTAATTAAGACTTGCATGTTAGTGATAAATATAGTTGTTATCTTTTGGTAGTTCGGTATTTATCTGAATCAAGAAAATTTATAACTAATATATTCCCAATGGAGATAAGCATGTCTTTTAAACAACATCGATATCCTTAACGTTAACAAGTAAATTCAATGAATTCTGAAGCGCCGGTTTACGCGAAAGCAAAACGGCCTGTGGGACGTAGCAACGCAATTACGAAATCTTGGATTTTTGAATCCATGTTCATCATGCTTTTCGCGCTTAGAGTTCGAAATTTTACGTGATTGGGGTTTTAATGTTAGGGTTAACCAAAACTTTCAAGAATATGTGCGTCCCAACAGCGTGTTTATATACGACAGGCTTGAGTATGTTTTTATTATTTTTCGCTGCAAAGAAAATAAACAAAATTGTATATTGGCATTTGTATGATTCATTTTATCAATAGTTTAATGAGCTTCTCCCTGGAAATAATTGAATGTGAACAAGTTAATACATTTTGTAAGTAAGTTAATTGTCAATGCTGCATGGTGATGGAAAATATCAATAATCAGCTTTAATTTGTTTTATTTAGCAATAAGATTATCTGAGGTAGTGGCTAATGAAGATGAAAAGGAAACCAACGTCGTCGCAGTTGTTCTCCCTCTGACAGTTATAATAGCTTTGGTGGCAATAATTTTGGCATTTATATCTTGGAGGATTAGAAGAAAGAAGCAGTTGGTACTAAATGCAATTGAAGCGCATGAATCTGCAATTTCTCCGTCGACGTCCAATACAAATCTGTATGAACATTGTCCACCACGGTAGGTTAATAGACATATAATGTTTCAATTGTTTAGCTAGGCATTAAGTAAGGGGCGGACCATTAGAAATCCCGGGAGGGGGGGGTGAAAATTCCCCCAAAAAAATTCGTGCAAAGGAAATGCCTGGAAAAAAAATTCGTGCAGACATTACGTCAGAGAAAAAAAATTCGTGCAAGCAAACAGCGAAGTACAAATAGTCTTGAAAAAAAATTCGTGCAGAGGTTAAATGCATTAAAAAAAATTCCTGCAGAGACACGAGACTGAAAAAAAAATTCGTGCCGCAAAAATTTTATACCCCCCCCCTCCCGGGATTTCTAATGGTCCGCCCCTAAGTGTTCCTAATTTTTTGTAATCACAGTGCAAAAATCTGTAACAAACTGATCTGATTGGTGGAAAAACCATGTGATGATAAAATCAACCAGTCAGTTTAAAGCAGTTCTTAAGCAACGGTCAAAGACTGCTTAAAAACACAATAAACATTGCGCCGCGCTACATGAAGTAAAAGTTGTCTTCTGTTGGAAAATATGACTTTTATCTTTTACCTTAAACAAGACTAACAAAATTTACGTAGTTGAACGGAATTTTCAAGCAATTAGCGTTGTATAATGTGATATAACAAAGCCAGAAAACTTTGCCGGTGCATGGACGGTTTGCCATAAACGTACGTTAAAATTACAATTGTCTCGAACATTTTTTATGTATAGTATTAATACGTATAATAGGATGGTTTCTCTTGAAATTTGGATTAAACAAACACTCGTGAGTTTTTCAAAAACCTCAAATAGCGATCGTTCTGCGGACTCGTCGGCAGCTATTTTGATTCTCTTTGAAAAACTCACTCGTGCATGTTTTATCCAAATTGCACTCGAAACCATCATATTACCTATACTAAGTACCCAATTCCAAGTGACTGTTAAGAAAAATCTAACTTTAAAAAGTTCCATTTGCACGCTCGATGGCCCGAGTTCTTTTCATGTGGTACCAGTCAGGTATATGAAAATAAATTATAATACGAAATTCATTTTTAAACCTAGCATCCATGCACTAGTCAGGCGTACGAGAATAATATATTTCTTGTAAGGCCAGGTGTTATTTAACTTTATACAATCAACTGCCACGCACACATGGAAATCTGTTACATGGCACCTTATCCTCACTGTTTTGCGTTTCAGTTACAATGCGGCACATACATCGTCGAAAGTGAATGAAATCGAAATGGACGAAAAAGAAGTGAACGTAATTTATGTTCCTCAAGAGATACAAAATGCAATTTCAGATGGTCTTACGGATGGATATGAATTCAATGCTGACCAGATTAAGTTCGAAGAATGTCTAGGGAAAGGCGCATTTGGGTACGTGCATCGTGCCCAAGCTCTGGGAATAACTGCAGAACCGGAATGGTCACTGGTTGCTGTGAAAACGTTAACTGGTAAGACATAACCTTGCAGTCGTATCGAAATCAGGTAGAGAAGCGTCTGCATGGGAGGGGAGGGGAGGAGACGAGGGCTGAACATTGAAATGGATAGAACTAGAATGCTACCTTCAGACAAACTGCTATCTTTTTATTCGTGTCCGGTGGTCAACACACGCGTGTCTGGGGGTCAACACGCGCGTGTTTATGTTTTTCGTGGCACTATTTTTATCGCAAATTAATGCTCTTTCAATAAACAATTATCAGAAGAAAAAAACTGAAAGTACAGTCCGCAAGCGTGTTTTAGCCGAATAAATGCATGCATGAATAGAAAACTTTGAGCGTTTAAAAGCTTTTTTTTGTGAATTTCAAGTCGATATATAAGAATACATATTCATGTTGACGGATTGATCGCGTTTTTCGAATGCATGAAATACTGACTGGCCTTCAAGTTTGGCCTCAAATTTCCGGTTGGAGGTAGCATTCCAGTTAAATATATTAATTTCAATGGGGGTGAACATTCTTCTGCTAATTTAATGGCGGCCAATTTCAAACCGATGACACTAAAATTGCAAATCCATTAATTGTTATATTGGGTAATTTCGACTCAGCATTAGTTTCACTGGGAAAAAAATATGAAACTCATACTGCGAAATTTGCAATTGCACCACTAAATCCATAGTATATCCATACTATTTTCATACTATATCCATAGAATGGAAATATACAATTAAAATATACAATTATTATGGATAACCAAAATCCTTTCTATAAAGGTCCATACAATTTCCATTCTATGACCTTCTATGGATTTTCAAAAAATTTTCTAGTGTTTACTGCTCTCACTTAAAACTTATTGGGACCTACAATGGAGTTGTTGTTGATTTTCTCATGGAAAATGTAGGATTTTTATCCAGTTCAGAATTTGTACCCCTTTCCTTTCATAAAAATGGCAAGATACCGAATTTAAATGAGGCATATTTACAACATATAGGCAAGGGAAAATTTGAAATCGTGAAAGAGAATAACAATTACGGGTGTGCATTACTTCTAATAAAAAGGGTTTGAATTTTTATAAATGAAAGCATATCAGAACCAGAAGCGTATCCAGCTCAATAATTGGGGGTCCATATTCATATATTCGTGTTCTACATTATTCTTGTTCTACATTGTTTTTAAGGTCTATAATGAACACGAATATATGAATATAGATCCCCCCCCAGTTATCGAGCTGGCTACGCCGCTGATCAGAATGCATATTTCCACATCTTTTAGAGCCTGTCACAGACAAATCAGTTGAAGATTTTATTGCGGAAATTGAACTGATGAAGAGAGTTGGAGATCATGAAAATATCATTCGAATGCTTGGATGTTGTATTTTAACTTCCCCAATTTGTCTAATAATGGAATATGCTCCTCATGGAAACCTGTTGACATATCTGAGAACAATTAAAACCAAGGTATGTGTAAAATTTAAACTGTGATATTCTATATTCGAATAATAAAAATACTTCTACAGAATATACTATTTGCAGTATTAATAAGTTCACAAACTGGTTAGTGAGTTTGAAAGGCATGATGCATGCATAAGACCGTTGCTGCAAAAGGATCTAAAAACTGGGCGGGTGGAAAACGACTTAAGTTAAGTTACAGTATACCTAAGCTGATTATATAGCAGGCATACAAAATGGTGGAAAGAGCACAAGGGAGATTAATCTGGCTACCGCATACCTTAGTTGACATATTTTATGCCAATGGCAAATTAACTTAAATATTATAACAATTTAACTTCATGCTGTTAATTTAGCTTCTTGGAAATGATTCAGTGAAGACGAATCCTCTAACTGAGAAATTGGGACTAATAGAATGTTCTCCGAGCGAAGAGGTAGTTAGATTATACTGCATGTAATGATTTCAGTCAACAGTTATTACTTTAAGGTATAATAATTATTTGCTTTGATCATAACTTCCTGCTATTCTTCTCAAACTATCCAAAACTAGGATACCATATTTACTCCTTCAAGAGCCGCTCCTGTATGTGCGCCGTCTCCAAACGTGCGCTGTCTCCAAATGTGCGCCGTCTCCAAATGCGCGCCGCCCCCGATTAAGCGCCGCAGTTTCGACAGTGCGTATATATGTCGTGTGTATGTGTACGTAGTGTGAGTTTATATATAAATTATTTTGTTATCGACATCGTTCAAATTAGTCAATTACATAAAGCTGCATGGTATAGATAACGAATTTATTTTCCTAAAACAGCAAATGATCCGTCCCGGTTAATCTATATTAACGACTTCTTTGTGGCATGAGTCTATTTTCAAAACCTTGGACTGTTGTAATTTGATCGTTCTACATTAAAGACGTTCATGTTCAAAATTGGAAAACGTTAACTTTGTAGCAAAAGTAACAAGAATTTCTAACTCTTAGAAACCTGCAATCGAAGAAGAATCCATCCATGAAATGTTTTTCTCTGGAGGAAGTACTTCCTCAGGTATCATTAGCAAAATGTTTATTGCTTTATATTCCCTGTTAAATTTACTTTATTTCTATTAACCTCATTATTCTGGCAGTGTTGCAGCAATAGTTTGTTCAATCAGAGTAATATGTTGTCCGACTCGAATTAACTGTGCGGTAACAAAGGGTGCAACGCTCGTTCAATTTTTTCTAATACTAGATTAATCATAACAAGACCCTTGAAAGAACGTGAACTCGCTGGCGCTATTAGAACCTGTCCCTTGCAGGGTCGGAACTACTGGGTTGTGTAGCACCAAGGAAAGAGGGGGGCCTGGAATGCTGGAATTGCGGAACGTGTTAAATATTAAGGAATTTTCTGGAGAATTGAGGTCGAAAAAGGTGTGACAAACTAAATTTAGGCCCCCATTATGTAAAACTAGTGTTTGAAAAAATGTTTGGGACGTGTTGTTTTCGGAAGCAAAACGTCGACCTCCCACCCCCGGGAAGGTGCCCCGAATGGAAGGGGGTCCAAATTTTTGAATTCACCACCAATCAGATACCGCTCGGGATGACCCTGGTCCCCTGTTGCAAAATTGCTGTGTCTCTGCCAAGTTTAGCACCGCTACCATAGGCATAGCAGATGGTTTTTGGGGGGAGGAGTTTGTTCGGAAACAAATGCTTCCTTAAAATTAGTTAATCTGGAACAAAAATACCATCGTTAGAATCAGCGTACGAAATTGTATACTTACGGATGTCAAATTCATTATCAAAATGATTATTTAACTAATTCAAAAATGTTGTACGTTTGATCCTTGATAACTTTCGTATTATTGGTTTTCTCTTTTTCGGCCGCATACAAATGGATTTTTCTCACTTTTCTCTTCATTTTGATAGTATATTGATCTATTTACTTCAAGGTTTTAAAGGCAAATTTTAACCAAGCGTACGGAACAACTGCCGGCCGACAGGAGGAATATATAGGCGTACTATAAAATATAACCGTTACTTGTAGAACAGCTTGTAGATGGAAACGCCGGAAAGTTTCATTTGTAAAGCACCGCAATTTAGTTCTGTGTCTCGTCATTACTCTGTTCTTATGAAAGCATAGCACCACTTAGGCCTTAGAAGTCTTATATCGAGTTTATGTTTCATACAATTGTTCTGTGCATTGCTGTCTTTGTATTTCTGTCTTTGTCGGGCCATAAGATGTCATTTTGACTGCTTAACAGGATTTGTTTTGCATTAAGGGGCCGATTACATGAGGCAAGTTGTCCCGGTTAAGCGAGTTGACTCGCGGTTAGAAAATTTGAATTTGAAATATAGACCCAAGTCAATTTTGACTTGTGGCAACCTTGTTTTTTCAACTCCATGGCTTATACTATATGTTTACATGGCTTACCCGCAGCATGTAAACAAAAATATAATGATTTACTGCGCCACCAAGCAAACTATTGCTAGAAGAAAAGCTGGACACATTAGAATGAGAAGATTGCTGAGAAAGAAGCGATCGCTTTGGGTAAAGAATGGAAGGACTGACGCCTGGTGGAGAAATATAATTAACGGAATATATATCGCCAGCGGACGACTGGAAAAGGAATTTCCACATGTCCAGAGATCGGTTGCGATTTTTTTCTTCGCAGTAGTATTATTTCTATCCGCCATTATGAACAACACGTGTAAACAGACAGAGTAACACATGCGCGAGTCAGATTTCTATTCCCGCTTTGCCAGGCCAACTCGGCAGAAAGTGATTACTTGACAATTTTCATCCCGCCTAGCGAGTTTCTCGGCGAGTCACAAGCGGGACCCCGGCTAGGCTGAACAACTCGCTTGCCATGTAATCGTAATGTTAAAATAATAGGGGATAAATATACGAAGCGGGTCAACTTGGCAAAGCGAGTCAACTCGTTTAGCCGGGACAACTCGCCAATGTAATCGGCCCCTAATAATCTCCAAATTCAGTATTCTTGTCGTTTAATCCTCAATGCCGTAAAAAAGCAGTTTTAAAAGAAACAACTGCTTTGGATTTTTTATAAAAATTATTGAATTATTCTCAAAACTTAGGGTACTTATGGATAATTTGGGTAAAAATTGGCAGCTTATTAATATTCTATTTTGTGGCCATCAACGATTGGAGATCCACCACAAATGCATGCCAAAACCTATACTCGCCTGGGCACAGCGCCCCAGCGAGTAATAAAATACTAACATACCATTTTTTTCTAGGAATAGAAGCTAGCAAGTGTCAAGTGCAACGTTTAGTCGAGACTAACACGTATTTGGAACCATTCGCTCTTCAGATTGCTAAAGGAATGGTATAATATTTATTCGTATTTACTTCCATGTAGGCAGTTTTATTTGGATTTCAAACTAAATTGGTTTGATCTGCTATACTTTAAATTTTTATTGTACGTTTATGAAATTCAGACCAATTTAGAACAGGGTGTTGTCAAAAACTGTATTATTTATATACGGTTTCTGTTTTCCGAATTGTTACATTTCTGACGAAAACAATTGATTAAATAAGTAAATAGTTGAATTAGAAGTATTGAACACTTCGAAAACGGTTAATTTTTTTCAAAACCGGGTACTCTATCGTATAGCTACGCCTCGATATACTCTGGTGGGAAATATATGTGATTGATGTGTTCACATTAAAATGTGCAAGTTCGTGAAAGTATGGCACAACCACGCCCAGGCACAACTGAGGAAAGCGCGCAAACCATTCCGATATCTTAATCGAGCATTTATCGTGTACTATAGCTAGATAACCCGCACCGTAGCACGAGAACGAACGAATATAACCTCATTAACTGAACGGCAGAGTCGTACTCATTCGTATGATAGACGTTTTCTATTGGCTATGAGATAAACTAATTATAATACTCGTAAACTTTCGTTTGTTGTTTATATCAAATATATCAAGCCATATTGTATTATTGACCATGACGGTAGCGGTGCCAGGAAAAATGCTAACAATACAGCAATAAATCACATATATTTGTCATTGTTGTCGGTATAAACAGCAGTATATATGCAGTCTTTCCGCGGTGCGGAACACAAACTATAAGCTATACACAAGTTAGCAAGAGATCCACTTGTGCATTTCAGCATGCGTCTATGCGACAGCTTGTGAAAATTCCAGAATAACTTAATGCAAATCAGGCCTAGCCCAATCGTCGCGTTTTCCGTAACCAACGTTTGAAACATGCCTATAACTTCTATATAAAGATCAGCTTTGTAAACAATACTGCGCCAAATATATTAATTTCCGATTCAAAATACTATTCATATTAGACTTTTCCCCTGTATCGGCAACAACACTAAGCAAGTAGCTGGCAAAATGTACATTCATGCATGGCAAATATTCTATCAATCTTTTGAAATAACTTAACGAGTTGGGAAAAGTGGACGAAAAACTCACAGTTGATAGGTATCGTTAAAGCCTGCCGCACACGAGAGCTATCTGCTGAGCAAAAAGTTACTCGTGCCTGTTAGCTCAGCCGATAGCTCACCGTGTGCGGGTACATTTTACTGAGTTTTTTGCCTCGTGCAACCTTTTCTCACGTATCAAACATGTTTGATCGGTGAGCTATCAGCTGAGCTAACAGGCACGAGTAACTTTTTGCTCAGCAGATAGCTCTCGTGTGCGGCAGGCTTAAGACCTCTTGGGAAATAGTCAATTTGAATTTATGCATGTCGTTACTTGAGTTTAGAACATAAATTAATTAACAAGCTAGCTAAATTTCGAGAATTCCCAGTAGGCGTCAGCTTGTGTCACACAATATACAGTGTATTGTACAATGATAAACGAAACTTAATATATATGGACAATCACATGGAGGTCCTAAATCTCAGTTTTATCAGTTTTATATGCAACTAAATAATGTCTTCAACGCTTTCTTCGTGATATATTTGGCAGTAATTAACGAATCAATGGAAGAGTCGACCAATGTCATTGAGAGAAACGACTCTTTAAACTCATGCACAATTGGGCAGCTTTTTCATGTGTTCTACGACCTGTTTGTCTTAACAGCAAGAGCTGTATTAGCGTACAGCACGTTGTTGGGCATGTTCATATAAAGTTCATCTCGCGCGATGTCATTTATATAACAATATCGCAAACTGGACCATTTCGTCTACAGGGTGTATCAAAAAAGGAGACCTTTAGAAATCAAGCATATTGTTAAAATTTGAATGCCTTTTCAATTGCACATATGCTAAACCGTGGTGAGTGAAATATTAGGGACCTTAAGCAAACAGGACGTCAACGCGACGACGACGGCTATTCACACAATGATATTCCTGATCTCGTACAAAAGAAATGAATAATTAAAAGCCCCACGGGAGTTAGAGGCGTTGTGTTAGGGCTTTTTACAACGGAAAACCAAAGATTTTCACGTCTCGTGTACAACGCAAACATGTCAAGACGCGACAAGTGAAACTACAAATTTGCTCAGCAGAAGCGTTTTTAACCATAAAGCCTTTGTTTTAATCTCTTCAAACTGAACTCAATTCACATATACATGCAGTGGATAATACACGACAACTCTTCTTCGCAATAATTTATTTGAAGAAGTTTGTTTTGGCTGTCGTCCTCGCGTTGCCGTCGAACATGCATGCTTAAGGTCCCTATTGATGGAGTACACACGTATATTAGAAAAAGGAGACCTTTAAAAATCAACCATTGTTATAATTTGAATCCTGGAGCACTTTGCTAAGCGCACGAGTGCGTAACATGCGGTCTACGTACAGTATGCATGGCAGATTGTTCCCAGGAGCAGACAATCTTTTGTTTAAACGTTATTTCAATTTCTAAAGAAACAGTTTAAGAAGCTGTTTTAAATTCCCAAGAGCAGAAAATCGTACGCTTTACAAAGATATTTTAATTTCTTAATAACTCAATATTTAATATACTGTATAAGCACCCTTGTCAATATTTTACGCATCTTGCGTTCAGCTTAGTGATAGGGCATTCAAATTTTAACAACACTTTATTTCAATGGTTTTGCAGGTATTTTGGACACCCTGTATACATACTATTGCAATGGTGTCAATTAAAATAACTGCATGTACTTTTTGACTTAACTTTATATTTTTATTCCCTTTGGGCTTCAATTTGTAAAAAATGTCATGATTTATGATCATGCAAATTAACTCTTGGTTATTTAATTGCATATTCGTTCGCTCTCGGTTTTACTCGCCCAATGCGTACGTGATTGATCATGCAATCCAATCAGATTTCAGCTTTTGACCAAAAACATTTGTATACCTGCATCGTCGTCGTTCTCGTGCTACGGTGTAGATTAAACTCTAAAAATCGTACGTACATCTAATGAGAAACGAACGAGAAACGCGATGAACAAGAAAAACGAGCAAGAAATGAGAATATAGTTCGTTAATAATATCCAACAAATCTTCGAATTCTGCTGTTGAACATTGAAAGTTCTACAAATTTAAGTCGTAATTGGATGCTTTAACCATGATTTGGTACTAATAAGTAATAAATAATCGATATCAGTGGCGAGGATAGCCATAGCAGTAGGTCATGCTATAGAAACATTTTGGATGACTTGCATTAGTCTAACGTTTATAAATGTGTTGTCTTTAAAATATTTAGATGCAGGTTTATTAGCATAGTATGACCAGATTTTCAGATTTTTAATGATTTGCAATATATACAAAAAAAAGAATTCAAGAACGTACAAACATTACAAAAATAGTTAAAATTACTCATTATAATAGAATAAATGATGACTTGGTTAAATTATGCCCAGTAGTCAAAGTAGCAAGAAGCTTTCGAGTTGACTACTGTCTATGTGAGATTTTTTCAGTGTATTTGAGCTAAGAATCCTGGTTAGCTTCGCCACTGTATACTGTTTGTATCAAAAAAGGTAATCGAAGTTCAGCGCGCTATTGTACGTGAATTACTCGTCGTATGAACGAATATTCGGAAAGATCAAGCTTTTTGCTATTGAATGACATGTTTCTCATGCCAAATGAAGAAAAAATAAGCAAGTACGAGTCCGCACCACATTAATATACTTTGATTTTTGACTAGGCATATGTCGCAGGACGGGGAATAGTTCATCGTGACCTTGCGGCGAGAAACATACTGATTGGCAACGATTATAAACTAAAAATCTCGGATTTTGGTTTATCTAAAGAAGGTATATATGTAAAATCAACAAGCGGGAAAATTCCACTTCGATGGTTGTCGATTGAAGCTATTCGAGAAAGGATTTATTCGAGCGCCAGTGATGTGTAAGTATTTTCTTCATTAACTCAGTCAGCAAGTGGTAAATTAATAATACGCATGCATGTCTATGTTATAGAAGTTTTACGTGATACGCGACTATCTCACGCAAAAGGATGATGGCAATGGTTATTTTAACATTTAGGCGCGGTCACTAATTCAACATCAGAATCGTTAAGAACTGAACACACCCACCAATGCGTTTAAATATAAAATTCGCGAGTCGTGATGAATTTGGCAGCGGATGTTAAGTTTTAGCGCCCTGATATTGAATTGGGGACCGCGCCTAAAATATGTCAAAATCCAACAGTGCTCCCAACCTTTTTGCATGACGTGGTTGCATATGAAGAAAAACTGCTGTAGGCGGACGCATAATGCGACAGATTTCAAGATCTATCAAACGTTCAAATAGGAATTCTTATTATGACTTATTATAAGTGATTTAGTTTCATTACCAATAACCATCGATGTGGCAACTCGTCACTCTTTGCTAATCGTGTATTTTGTTCTCTTCCTTTAAATAGTTGGTCCTACGGAATTGTATTGTGGGAAATTTGCACTCTAGGTACGTTATAATAATGACCTTTATTTGTACCCTTCACAACAACAAAAATATAAATATTTTACACAATTAATAATTACATAAAATGGGTACTAGCTACTTAAAATAACCATAAGGCTAGAGACCAAGCAGCTAAATAAGGCTAGAGACCAAGCATGGCAACAGACTAAAAATGAGCATGGAATAAGCCTCTTTTGGAATAAGACCATGGCAATAGAATAAAAATGAGCATGGAATAAGCCTCTTTTCTATTCATCTCAAGAGTCAACTTGTGAGCTCACTGAAAGCACTTTCACGCAATTAATGCTCGACAGTGTATTTTAATTAGATACAATCACTCGCAGCGAGCTTTCAATTAATCCGACTTTTGAAACGAGTAGAAAAGTGCCTTAACATGAATTGTGATTCTGCATTATTACAGATCCATTCTTAACATATTAGTTAATTTAATGTCTCCTTATACTCAGGTGGATTGGCTTGCTACTGTTCCTGGGACAAGTACAGTTATTAACGCGCGCCAACCAGGCAACTAGTGCATATATAATGAGATTTACTAACAAAATATATTTTATTAGGAGATTTCCCTTATCCAACATTGTCCGATAGAGAATTGTTGAAATTCTTGGTTAGTGGTGAAAGGCTGGAGAAACCAAGCAACTGTTCAGATAAAATGTAAGTAACGGTATGATATTTAACACTGATATTTAACACTCGAGGCCAGTCAATAACCGGTGCAAATTTTAAAAAAAACAGAAAGAAATTTCCATAATTTTTGCTTCATAGCTCGGCGATTTTAGCTGTCAGAGCTGTTGCCAGCGATAGTCAAATTTCCTGACTTTCATGTAATACGCTTTCGTTCAATGAGATGCAATAAAATATGAACTGAATGGTGACAATACTGGATAAATGAAGTTAACATGTACATGCACTAGAACTTGTGGGAGAACTAACATGGTTCTGTTTTGATTTGAATTTTAATTAACCCTGAAATTCGAGTAACTACAATTCTTGCCAAAGTTCTTGCTACAGCCAAAAAATTCCTGAGTATTAATCGAAAATATTTTATTTAAAGACAGCCTCTGCCCCCCCCCCCCCATCCGTAGTGTGCATCATGTAGCTCTAATTACTGCACCCCAGTGTTCTGTCAGTTGTATATAAAGCATATGGCAAATGTTCTAAGCGCAGATAGATACCCACTCTAAAGATACAAATTTAATATTCTGATTGGTTGACAAGAGGTCTGTATCACACGATACGGACCTCTACCACACGTTACGGGCCTCTCACGTTTCGCGCCAAAACAGTGAAGACAATTTCCAAACTCAAAAAATCATCTAAAAAGCTGGAAAAACCCTCCGCCTATCGATGCTAAAGATAGAAAAAATAGGCTGAACTGACTTCAATTGATTTAGTCTCAAGGCCGAAATGTACCTTTTCTCCGACCTAAATGCGAAAAAAACAAGTATTTCTTTGACATATAAGTATCAAAAAATTAGTGATAAGTATTTGGTTTCAAAAGCTCAGTAATAAATATAATTATATTTATATTATAAGTAGGATATAACAAACAATTTGATTGGCTAATGCGCGAGCATTGTGATGCAATAATTCACTGTGGTCCGTGGCACTGTCTTGCTCTTTCTGTGTTTTCCACCGGCCTCGCTTCATCTCTGCTTTTTGGCAAAAAAATTATTAAAAAAACTATTGAGCATCTAAAATACAAAATTTATCAGAAAGCAAGAAGAAATAGACCAAAGGAACAGAGCAATTTATCCGTATAGTTCTACGTGTAAAAATAGTAAAATTAATCGGCTTGACATCCGTCGAATTTGTTTTGTCGCGACAAGTTTTAGGCAAAAGCATGCAAGTAGCCCAGAAAAACCTTGAAAAAGATTGAGGAATACCGAACACGTAGAAAAAGGAAAAGAAAGTTGAATTTAAGTAATTTAGAAAGTACCTGGAAACACGCAATGCAAACACAATTGTCGACAGCTTCCAAATAGATTTGTACCAACTCGTTTGTAGACCTGTAACAACTTGTGCGTGTTTGTGTGTTCAGTAGAATAGTAGATTTGCAATCTTTCTGAAGCAATCCGGCGCTTATTTTTTATTACTAGGTACGCAATGATGCTGGAATGCTGGCAAGGTGAGCCGGAAGATCGACCAACATTTGCTCATTTACGAGATGTGCTTTGGAAAATGAATACGGGAGAGAATCCCTACATTAATATCGAACCGATGCAAGATCTAGAGAATATTACTACAACCGTAGATGGAGTGGATAGCATTGAAAATTCTATAGTGGTATAATGGGTGGAAATTTTAACGAGGAACAACAATATTATAAAAATACAAGTATTATGACATAACACATCACACAATACAAACATAATTATTGAGATTAACTTACGCTAATTAACAAGTTTATAAAGTAAGTTGCATTCCACAAAAATGCGTTTTCAAATTTTCATGATGGGTCAGCTGAATATGTTGACCGCAATACATGTATAGTATATAAGTAAATAGGATGAAGCTTGTAAAAAGTATAGGTATATATAAAGGATATATTTGAAGCTAATTAAATGCGTAACTGATGTTGCAGACAGCGCAAATGTTGCGGCAATATTGCATCAATGCACGCTTTCGGAAAATAAGTCCCCTTGGCTATTGAGATCTCGCATTCGTGATTGAGACGTAGTCTTTAAATTTAATAATGAACTGATGTTGACACACGAATAAGCGGCTCTATTGCCAAAGTGACGTAGTTCCGGAAGGGAGTTTTGGAATTTTATTTGAGTAGTATTATATGAAAAATATTGAAGTAAAAAACACGGTCGTCGTCAATAAAAAAACACGGATTATGCAATGACAGTATACGGTGCTGCGGATACATGCAACTATATGGTTCCGCAATATACTATCATCAAATTTCTACAATTTATATGTATCCGGAATTTCCAAATTGCGGACAGCCAACCAATGTTTGAAAAAAATCTAAAAACTTTTACTCCTCCTGATAAATACACCTAGTCAGTTGTGTTTGTCAATATCATTAGTCATGTACAGCGTTTGATAAATATTCCAAAATTATAGAGTGTGTAAGATAAGTCAAATAATCTGAATAAAATTAGTTAATGATTCATGTTATCAATTTGCGGTTTGTTTTATGACCAAGGTTTAGGTTAGGGTAGTGAGGCTATATAAGAGTTAGAGGTAGGAGGTTAGCAGGGTTATACATGCAAGATAAGGATTCATAACGGTTCTGGTTATGGGTGGCGAAAAGGACGTGATTAATTGATGGCTCACTTGATTGTTAATATATAAAACAAGACGCTCTATGGAGCGTTAAAACTCTTTTGCATCACAAGCCAGTCTCGTCATCCGCTAGCGGGTGACGGCGAGAAATTTTTATATCCTCGGTTCAGTGCATGCTATGAAGACAGAAATATCACCATTCGATTCAGAAATAAAAGATTCAACTAATTCCTCCCTATAGTTATAGTCATTATCAACATTGTAGCGATTTATGGGCCTTTGAAGTCAAACAATATAATATTGTATCAAATTACGCAATTGTCTGAACAAAAATATAGACTATTCATACCTTTCGCCGAAAATAACTTCGGCCCCTTCGAACATATCGTCTTTGTAATAGTCTTGTTCGAATCCCCATTAAATAGTGTTTTTGGAGTGTTATTTGCAACCCTGAATCTACAAATCTGTATCTTTTATCAATATATTTCCATTTCTTGTCCGACGGTGAGCTCGAAGTGAATAATCCCAACCGGAAATACGTCTTAAAACCGTCAAAACAATGCGACGTTTGTATCGTATGACGGAAATGAATTCGCAAGGTCAAAGAGTTTGACTAATGGTCGAGGGTCGAGGGTCGAGGGTAATAGGTCGAGGGCGAGGGTAGAATGTCGAGGGTCGAAAAAAATGTCGAGGGTCGAAAAAAAATGTCGAGGGTCAATTTTTTGACTCTATGATTTGTTCGCAAATTTTTAGTAACAGAATCAAATACTTACCATTACACATACGTATCATACTTAATTAACTTGCTTTTGCCCAACGTCAATGTTTTAGCCCTATTATGGAATTGGCGCAGAGTAAGTATGCTTCGCTATTAAACGCAAAGTTTAGTTTGAACAAACAGATATGTTTTATACGCCGATGTATACTAAGTAACGAATAAACCCTAATTTGATCATTATCAACGTTATGAAGTTAACTGATCAAATTTCGATCGCTGCAGTGAGTGCAGTCAAAAGGCGCCGCTTCACATGCCATTTGATAAACATAACATAACCCTTTGCGACCTTTGTGCACTCATGATTTCAGCAATCATTACGATCCACAAAAGCGATATATTTATTATATAGTACTGTATAGCTATGTTTCCCGCATGATCTAGAAACCCACGACTAAACACTAATGTCGTATAAAATAATTTGTAAAGCCGTGATTTTCTAACTATCAATATTTTCTGCACATGCATCGTGGCAAACGTTGACAGACACTGAAATATATATGCGACTGGGGCTTCCTGAGTTAACAGCGAGGCAATACAGTCACATTTTTATCACATCATCAAACTAAATCTTAGGATCAAAGAAAATTGCTATACTTACATCATAACGGTTACTCTCCAAGTACTCAAACACTATATTCTGCACAGTCCTGGAAGACAACCCCCAACTGAAAGCCAGCAGCCGAATAAAAACATAGCCCATCATCGCCGGGAGGATTATACGAAATCTTTAGTCCAGCCTCTTCTATTCTGCTCTGAAGTACTTCCATTTCACACAAGTTTTATACCCTACAGCAATGCGGCAACTGAAGACGTTTTTAAGAGAAAGCTCGTCTGCACGTGTATGCGTTAACCAAAGTTTAATCGCAAGTAAGGTTCGAATGACATTTCTCGCAAGTTTTGGTCCAGAACTGAAAGCAAATCCCGACATCCGGGGTGACACTTCAACGTGTCAGTGTTATTTTTCATTTTGCTGCGAATTTGTTGCGCCGATGAGGCATAACTAACCCAGGAAAATATCACTATTAATAAAAATTAATGTTGAAATATTTTCCGGTTTTATATTCCCCAGCCATGTATGGAGTAATACTTGTATTCAAATTCGCGCAGTAATGAAATTCGCGCAGACGATAGGAGCCATAGGCGCAAGAAATTACAACATGAGCGGAAAATAATCTGTGCGAAAAATGTTTGCTGCCTAGGCATGCACGTGCATAAGACAATTGGCTGTCTGTCAACGTTTGCCACGATGCAGAAAATACTGATAGTTAGAAAATCACGGCTTTACAAATTATTTTATACGACATGTCGACATTAGTGTTTAGTCGTGGGTTTCTAGATCTAGCTATACAGTACTATATATTCTAGCTATACAGTACTATATATCGCTTTTGTGGTCGTAATGATTGCTGAAATCATGAGTGCACAAAGGTCGCAAAGAGTTACCGTATGTTATGTTTATCAAATGGCATGTGAAGCGGCGCCTTTTGACTGCAGCGATCGAAATTTGATCAGTTATGAACTTCATAATGATCAAAATAGGGTTTATTGATTCGTTAGTATACATCGGCGTATAAAACATATCTGCTTGTTCAAACTATACTTTGCGTTTAATAGCGAAGCATACTTACTCTGCGCCATGGCAAATTCCATAATAGGGCTAAAACATTGACGTTGGGCAAAAGCAAGTTAATTAAGTGTGATACGTATGTGTAATGGTAAGTATTTGATTCTGTTACTAAAAATTCGCGAACAAATTATAGAGTCAAAAAATTGACCCAGGACATTTTTTTCGACCCTCGACATTTTTTTCGACCCTCGACATTCTACCCTCGCCCTCGACCTATTACCCTCGACCCTCGACCATTAGTCAAACTCGTAGGAGAGTGTGGAACATCCCAAAAAATTTAGACTGCATGTGGTAATCTTATCATATAATCATATAAAATTCGAATATTTGACAGTATTGCGGAAATAGTATAAAATTATTCATTACATCTCTAATCACTGGAAATTTCTTTCAAAACATGGAAATAGTATGCGTCCTACATGATCGGAACAAGTATATAAGGAAATCCAATGTCCGTATTAATTGCCATTTCTACACTATGGATATTATATGAAAGTGTGGATATGCCATGATTTAGTAATAGAAATATGATTTGCAAATATGATGCCATGTCAATATTCAATCTGACATATTTCATGGATTACGTACTCGACTGAAGCTTAAAACATGTATTTTTCAGAATGGGCTTCATCAGAACTGTTCTGAATCTGAACTCTCCCCTTGTCCTTTTCATACAATGGTTGATTTGCAATTCATCTAATGACATCATATCTGGCAACATGTACATTGAAAAAGTTGATAAAGATGAGGGTTGGGTCGCGAAGGGCCTTCGCTCGAAACGTCGAGGTTCTGCTTATAGTTTTAAGATAGTTGTACTCTCTCAATCCGCATGCAGCTGTCTTGTTATCGTCGCTACCTACACTGGCACTGAACGTTTTCAGTGATCTTACCTGTTCTTTGTATGTTTCATCTTTAATATCAGGTAGGTTTATCAATATATTGTAGTAAGCTCCCCATACACCAGTCTCCAGACAACGAACTCCAACCTTGTGTAAATAGATATAAAGCTATTTCAATTGAAGTTTTGTCAAACGCAAAACTAGGTCGATTATACCATGAAACAGAATAAAATATGGAATAAAGTTTGTAAGGAACGAGTCACAAACACTGATCACCAATCACAAAAAATATTCAATCACTTTAACTTCGTATAAATATTTACAAGGGTTGATATTTCATTACTTATTATCATTTAGTTATTATTAGAAACGAATTTGAGGAATCGAAATCACAACAAGCAGCCCAGGAAAGTGTGACCCGAACATCCTAGACGGATGCTCTAACCACTGCATGAGCTATTAGATTATTAGCTGGTAATATATACTCTTCGCTATAAATGGTTATTAACTTAATATACACTTCATCGCTAAATGGTTTAAGCTTTCAACACATAATTAAAATTATTAATATATGTGGGCGACTAAAAAGTACTAGTTTGGTCTTTGGCAATTAGTTTTTCTAAGAATACTTAAAAGTATTCTTAGATTTTATTACTGCACGTCTCTCAATATACGTGCCTTATTTAACCCCAAAGGAAGATCTGAAATCTTTTCTGGGCTTAGATAATTATTAAAACAAACTGAAACTTAGATAATTATTAAAATTGATAATTAATTGAAATAATTATTAAAACAAACTGAAACTTGCAGATAACTATTGAAACAAACTTTAGAATTTTTAAACATTATGGCGACGAGCTGAGATCGAAAGACCAAACTAGTACTTTTTAGTCGCCCATATATATTTTTTAACGTTTTAATTTTTAATAATTTTAATTATATCTGTTGAAAGCTAAAACCATTCAGCGATGAAGATATATTAACCATTTAGCGAACGTGCAGGATGCATGTTCGTGGGTTCGGGTCCCACTTTCCTGGGCTGCTTGTTGTGATTTCGATTCCTCAAATTCGTTTCTATTATAAAGTAATAACTATAAATGATATAAGTAATGAAATATCAACCCTGGTAAATATATATGAAGTTAAAGTGATTGAATATGTTTTGTGATTGGTGCATCATGATCAATGTTTGTGACTCGTTCCTTAGAAACTTTATTCCTATCTTTTATTCTGTTTCATGGTATGGTTCGGCTCGCGATTTCGCGCACTTTTCTTAACTCTCGCAACATTCCATCTCGCAACAGGCCATCCAAACACGGAAACCATAAAGTAATTGTTTTATAAATTAACAACTTTCCGTGTTAAAATTTCACTTTAAAAAACTTTCACTTGGATGGCCTGATCCAAACACAGGTTTCGACCAATACATGTTATTTTATAAACCCTGTTCATACACTGTAGCGTAATTTTGTGATGAGCAGTTTACCTGAATGTCAGATTTAGTTTGAACATTACCACATCTTGCTAGCTCGGTGAGAGATTGCCAAACACGAGAAACTGTTTTGATTAGTTTTAGAGGAACGTTTATTGACGCTGTCAGTCCTGCTTGTACTGCTTGACTTTGCCTAAAAAATGATGGTATATAAACCATGGTAATTTGCTGAAGGATGTAGGGCAAAGCGCCTATTAATCTGCACCTCTCTATATCCATAACAATTTCTCTAATTATTACTGTATTATGCAAAGGACCCAACGAGGTCCCACTTACCGTTCAAATTTAATGAACGGAAACATTGTCACTTTGTTTGGTATAGGTGATCGCATGTACCAATATATAATTTATGCAATGATTGTAGTGTATGTGCTCGACAGGTGAAATTGTTTGAGATGATGTTACTTTGAGTGTGTCCACACCAGGCAAGCCGGCTTAAATTATAAAAGTTTGCTTGACCGTGGTGGAGATCGAACCCACCACATTTGACTTACCGACTGGGCTACTACTGTATGAGGTCAAGTCGGTTCGAGTAGGTGATATTGTGGGAGTCGATATCTGACATATACTGATAGTGCATGATGTCGAAGGAACTCGATTGAGTTCCAAAATATCACCAACTCAAACAGACTTGACCTCGTAGGTTTGTTGGTGGAGAATTGACCTCGTAGCTCAGGTGGTACAGCATTGGACTCAACATCGCGGATTCGATTCCCACCGTGGTCAAGCTATCTTTTCAGCCTGCCTGGTGTAGACAGATTAACATCACCTCAAATATAATTTATTATTCAAACTACTGTAGTCATATATATATATATATATATATATATATATATATATATATATATATATATATATATATATATATATATATATATATATATATATATATATACATATACATATATATATATATATATATATAGCTTAAGATTTTGGTTTACGAAACACAAACAGTGCTCAATACCATATAGATAGAGCGTAATATAGTTTTTCGTTTTACCTCAAAAAACCACAACAGTCTGTTTCATCCGTATAGGAATGAATAGGAATATAAACCATGGTAATTTGCTGAAGGATGTTGGATCTTCAGCCGTTGTACTATACGGATGAAACAGACTGTTGTGGTTTTTTGAGGTAAAACGAAAAACTATATATATATATATATATATATATATATATATATATATATATATATATATATATATATATATATATATATATATATATATATATATATAGTTTTTGTACTGTTACTGAGATTATATTTAGCTACCTTTCTTTTTCTTCTGGAGTATTTTTTGGAAGTTTCAACGCGTCCTATAAACATAAACCATAGTTTTTAGTAGCACAGTAAGATAATCAAATGCAGTTATTGTAGTATTGTTCACTAATTTGGAATATTATATAAAAACAAATAAATTTAAGGTTCATTCCAATGCAGCTTGCTTGAACTTTCATTGAAAAATTATATAATTGTACTTTCTAAACTTCTTTTAAAGATGGCAGTCGAAGACAAATGACAGTTTCTGGTGACAATGCAATACTACCAAATATACTATCATAGTTTTTAACACAACAATACTAGTTTCTGGGGGTGTTAGTTTCCACGCCATCCTCATGTTTAAAAAAATAATTAAATGCAGTTAATTTTTTAGAACTGATTTAAAGTTTGTTAGTCCACGGCAACCAGTCTTTAAAATCAGTCATGTTTTCGCTTGCCACCAGACGAATTGCATTACGTTTCGACACTCCAGTCTAGCTGCATGTCTTCATCGGGGTCGCGTGATAGGCAATTCTTTAGATTGGACAAACTGAAAGTATTAGAATCACTTTATTCTTACCATGTACATATTAAAAGCGTTTGTGTCCGCATCAACCAAAGGAATTAAATCAACCATAACCTGGTAGACTGGAGGAATTAACTTTCTCATTGTGGAGTCAAGATTTTCGTATTTTTTCTTGCCGAAAGTCATCCAGCCAACCATTGTACTAAGAGCGGCACCCTGCAGAGTGAGAAGACTCAGTTAATTACAAAGATACTATAATAGTACACCGTACCGAATATATAGTATGGAAATTTGTCTCATCATTCTTTTGTCATTCCATAGGAAGTCTAGAAAATATACCGCTATCTTCAAAATAAATATTTGTAAAATATATATTCAACAGTCAACGCTTAAAAATGTGTTTGAGTGGTTCTGACTTGGTGCAATTTTCAGGCTGCATGGATTACGTCACTGTATGTCATGTTTATCTTGAACCATAAAACGGCAACTTTTTCCTACAGGTAAATGCATTTACACACATTAATACGCGTTCGCTTGAAACAACAAAATAACGCAAATTTCTTCAAAAAATTAGATATGAAAGACCTTGAAAGATATTTCTTGCTTTATGAATACTTTTTTGTCTTTTTAGAGTGGAAAAAGGTTTATAAGAACTTAGATTTCTTCAATAAATCTTAAATAAAATTTTATCGAAATTTTGCTGTAGATAGGGCTGCAATAGGATGCAAATTGTTCGACAAATTTCATAATCGGAAAATTCATCGGCTAAATTTCTATATTGGCTGCTGAAAAATCGTCCAATTCTGAAGAAAGTTGATTGACTGCACACATAATGAGATACACAATTCAATAGCAAGCCAGAAGCACTTTACACATGCACATTTTGTTCGGCCATTGCGTTGCGTAGTTGTTGTTGAATCCAGGCGCTATGTGCTGCTATATGGCTGGCGTCGCCCATGCCAGGGCTGCGTGGATTCAGTTTTTCTCCCTCACGTTCGTCCCGCGCGCTTGATGACATGAGACACAAACCAAAGCGTCTGGGTACGTGTCAGGTTGTTGGAAATTTCAAGGATTATTTACTGTCGTTCCAATTGAAGTGTTCCTCAAATATTGATTCAATACATTACCTCGGGCTGACCAATTCATTTGATCAAGTTCCTCAAAATATTCATACACTTCCTAGTATAATTGTAAACTTCCTGTTGAATAGTTTGAATGCACCAATCCCCTTTGTTGTTTGTGCAACTAACCAATCATAAATAGAAAGGAAGTGACCAGAAATGATCAAATACTTGGAATTGGCTCTTTCACAGGAAGTGTATGAATATCTCGAGGAACTTGACGAAATGAATTGGTCAGCCTGAGGTAATGTATTGAATCAATATTTGAGGAACACTTCAATTGGAACGACAGTAAAAACTCTACATAAATTGCGATTCTATACTTTACTGTAGTCGTGCATTATGTAAGAGTACAAATTTATCATTTATACTACGTACTATAGCAGCCACAGCAGCTGAGCCAGACCCTCCGCCAGGAGAGGGTGTACGACTTCCTAAAGAATGAATAAAATCGCATAACGGCATGGAGGCCAATGGACCATTTTTGTTGCTACCAATTACATATCTAGATGAAACAAAAGTTAGAAAGTAAGAAAAAACAATTATAGTACTTGAAGTTACAGAACATCATTGTTACATCAATAGCAAAATTAGCTAGCACATTACATTAATCATAAGGGACCAGTCATTACCTATGGCGGGGAGTGGAACCGAAGAGAAATGTTTTTCGAGGCAAACGTTCTGCTGACCCAACCATTAAAAAGTCAAAAATTTGAGGTTGTGAACCTGGTAGACGCTACCAGGTTGTGAACCTGGTAGACGCTGGTCACGTGATCTGCTATACCCAACCTCAAATATCAATTAAAAAATAAATACCCATTCAGTTGTCACACATGTGCGTCCTTTACCACTTCTGTGACACGAGTTTGATAACGGCTTGTGAAATTTTCTGCAGTCTAAAGTTTCATGTTGCCTGCACATGTACTTTCTTTGGAGACACCATTTGTCTCCCAACAAATCGGAAAATGATCAAGATTAAACAGGGTGCGATAATTCGCGTACCAACGTACCAGAGGTACGCCAAAATTACGGTCTGGTACTTCTTTGTTTTTAGTCGAGTACCACGTAGGTACACGAGAATTTGCTATTCGCGTACTTACATTTCCCTTCTAGTGATAACTAGCAAACCTTCCAAGGTATTCAAAATCGTCAATAACTTTAGCTGCACAATGTAAATTCCACACATCCGACATATTTTGGGATCAAACAAGGTTGTTAACCTTGTTATAAGTGTTTATTAATTATTAAATATATAAAATTCAGAAAGGTTTAATTTTTTCCGTCAAATTAAGACCATTACATACGTATGTGTAAACCATTACATACGTATGTGTGCATTATACATTACATACGTATGTGTGCATTATATACGTATGTGTAAAACGCAAGACTCGGAAGTAGCCTTAGGGCTTAGGTACACCTTGACTTTTAAGTTCGTACCAGCTCAAGTACTCGGCAAAAATTGTTGGAGTACCAGTCAGGTACGGCTAAAAATTTTGAATTATCGCACCCTGAAGATAGTAATTCACATATTGTATTGACATATGACTCTTAATTGACATTGCTTTTCAGTCTCCAATATTTCAGTGAGTCATGCTTTGGAAATGGCAACAAATTTTCATTTCCCAATCCTTGAGTTGTTTTGTTTTTCATTTACCCAACGTTTTACTTAATCAAAATTTTGTTTACCAAACCCTTTTCTTTTCGGTGCCACCCCTGTCATAAATAATGACAGGTCCCTAAGGACATTCTAGTTAAATTATTATAACTTACTCTATTACTTTTTCCTGGGGATTAAATTGTCCCAATGAATTCAAACCAAGACGATCAATTACCTGTAAGTAAAGATGAAGGATCTAACAATTGAGCGTAAGTGTAAAAATTTATAATGAGAGTTAGAAGGCACACAGTAGATATAGAAAAGTTATTGTTGTACTTGTAAAAAAAAATTATAAACAGAGTTTGCAACGCCGAGCAAAGACCTTTCTTTTTACTCTGTCCTTCCACGCTTTAGTGACTAAATAGAATGGGAAGAATATATGGAATTGAACAGGATCAAATGTTTTTTACAGAATGTATACAAGTTAAGTATGCATTCTGTAAAACAATTTCCTTACCAATCTTAGTTTTTGATCTTCATCCACAATAAACAGATCTTCTTTGGCCATGTAATAATCTGCAGCATCTAACATCACTTTCAATGGTACTAAACCAACCACTTGAGAACCAGCAATAGCCAATTTTAATTTCTAAATTTTCAAAGTTAGAATATAGTCTAACAGATTGTGAACCACCACATGTGCAGCACTTTCAGATGTGTGATAGGTACCGCTCGATAAAGATCTTGCCATGGTAACATAAAAATCATAAACTTTTGGCGAAAATAGAAAATAAATTGAATAACAGCACTTTTAACTATACTCTATAGAATATAACACACATTATTATATATCAATAGTCAAAGTCCCATTTTTCTAGTGTTTTATTGGTTGAGAGCACATCACGTGAGAGTGACGAAATTAGGCTGTCTCCCTCGCAACAGCGCGAGAGGGAGATAATACGTTATCGACCGGCGAATAACAAAAAAAATCACGTGCCCCATCACGTGAAGATGCGACCTTTGGACATGCCTAGTACGTAATTAAAACTTTCGCTTTAAGTAACTGCAGTGTAGCCAGTGTTTAATATAACGTTTTAACAATAAAATATTTCATGTATTTACGTTCATTTGTTCTTTAATTTGTTGTTTCTTTGACTATTGATATATAATAAAACACTTATTTACTGAGACCTCGGGAAAGTAGTGTGTTTTGTGGACCCTCGGGAAACATCGACGGTCTCGGGTCCACAAAACACACTGTTTCCCTCGGTCTCAGTAAATAAGTGATAACTGCCAACTGATCCTACTAATAAACACAGTTCTTGCGTAAAAATAAAACTTTTAAACTTTCTTATAAGCTTTAAACAATACACAAGCTGTAAAAAGCTGCGGAAAATAAGGCTTATTACCAAAACCACGGATTCTTCCTCTCGCCCGAACAAAGTGTCTTTCGTGTCAAAACATTCAGGAATGCAACTGGATCACTACGCCTATTGCTGCTAAAATATCAAACTAATAATAGCTAACTTCAGAACAATTTCCTGCAAAGCAATCAGATGTTGCCGTTTACAAATTGTCGATTTCACGACTTTAGTAATGTTGTCCCACTCCTGAATGCTTTGAAACGAAAAGATGACTCTAATGTCGATCTATGCCGATAGTTGCCCTTGTCAATTATTTTTCCGTTTTTAAAATTAATTTTGTGGTCGTTTGCCCACGCATGGTTCGCGATATTAGAGCCACTCTTGCATTTTTACACGTTTCGTTCGTGCTCTTTTCTTTCCACGTTTTGTTCGTGCTCTTTTACTTTTATCAGTAAATGTAATTGTAAACCGCTATTATAGCACTATTCACTTTCGTATCATATCTTATATCACTAGTATACAAATAATGAATGTTTATGAGTGCAATGGTAAGAATATTTTCATGAGGTGAGGCGACAGCCGAGTTGAATGGAACATTCCATCTTTCACCTCATGAAAATATTCTTACCATTGCACGAATAAAAACATTAATTATTTGTTTTATATAATACCAAAATAGACTAATATTAAAAGGTTTACTGTAAGCTCCCGCCATTTTGACGAGTCGTATTTGCATTAAATCCCATTTACTGAGTTTCGAATATCGGGTTAAAATAAACTGTGACCACCGTACGAGAAGCATTTTGACGGATGCGATTTATCGAAAACACAAAGAGTGCAATGGAACAAAACGTATAGTACAATTGCACTCGCAAGAGTGCAATGGAACGCATTCCATTGCACTCTTGGGAAATGGAATTTTCTATTCAATATCACGTGACCATAAACAGCCAATTAAACGATCAGAATTCAATAAGGTATTATATAATGCATTATTAATCTACCCGTACAGCGAACACAAAAGAGTCTGTGTTGGCAAGGCAAGGCAAGGCAAGGCAAGGCAAGGCAAGGCAAGGCAAGGCAAGGGTATTTATATCTGTTGGATGGTCTAGAACGTGATACGGAAGATAAAGGATAAGGAAGTTAGAGATAACTGATGAATATAAGGAGGATAAAGAATAAGGAAGATAAGGTTAAGGAAGATATTGACAAGGAGAACAAAGATAAGGAGGATAAATATAAAGAACGTAAAGATAATGGAAGATAAAGATATAAGGAGATAAAAATGGTAAAGATAAGAAATATGGTTGGAAGCTATTGGTTCGGCTCTGAGCCATTGGCTGGCCATGGAGCAGCGAAATTCTAATGAATTGCAAAGATACACATGCACATTGTTCTACCAACACCCACTTATTTAAAAAGCTTCATAAAAGTTCTTACCTTTGCTTCTTCTACACACGTTTCAAACACGATATGAACTGCCGTGGTGTTGTAGTCCAAAACGTTGACAGAAATTTGCGAGACGTTTGACTTTTCCTCCCGCCATCCAACTGCTTGGATTTTCTCCAGTAAGCCAAGCTAAATGGAAAAGCATCCAATTGTAATATTGTATGCCAGGCTGATATGCTATCTTAAATCAAAGCAGGCATTGGTGTGTGCTGAAACTATAGGCTCGCCGTCAGAACTAACTATCAGTACTAACTACAATCAGTACAACTATCAGTACTAACTATTTTGTCGGTTAAAGGCTATGAACTCAACCTCAACCAGGTCCGTCAGCTTCAAATACGTTCTATTAAGCTGCACCTTTTGCTCGACCTTCAATTTATATTTAGTGCTTCGTCATTCTAGTCACTGACACACCTGTTCTGATTTATTACCAAAGTCACCATAAGTCGACATGACTCGTTTAATGCAACGTATTGGTATTTAGGCAGTCTGTACCTCATATATTTACTAACAAAACAGAACCAATAACAAACATGGTAGGAATAAAGATGTTGTTGTTGTTGCTGGTGTTGCTGGTGTTGCTGCTGTTGTTGCTGTTGTTGTTGTTGTTGTTGTTGCTGCTGCTGCTGTTGTTGTTGTTGTTGTTGTTGTTGTTGTTGTTGTTGTTGTTGCTGTTGCTGTTGCTGTTGTTGTTGTTGTTGTTGTTGTTGTTATCCTGTCAGCACAGTACTGTGCATTCTACCTGTGTAGGACTACGGCCAGTAGTTCGTATATTCAAAGCAATCCTGTGCGCTTGTTCTTTAGTTGCCATTATGTTCACATTATAAGCAATGAGAAAATCTCGAGCTCCAACAATAGAAGCACCCCAGTACGGAACAAACATTGTTGGACCATAATCTGGCTTCCATTTTTCATCTTTCAGCTGCATTGTTAAAAAAGAACTAACATATATTAGCACTTTTAAATACCACTTATTACTCATCGTAAAATAATTAATATTTTTAAAAATACTGCTACTAAGGGCCCAACTATTTCATTACAAGGTCCCAAGAGACCTTTTGGTAAAAGCTTGATTTTATAAGAGCATGATATGACCAGTGGCTCTTAAGGAAATTGCACATGAATTTTATCAATATGGAACTCCCTACCTAAAACATGAATGTGCATGATACTTTCCCATGCCGCTTTGGGGCAAAATTATTTTTGCCACAGCACGTAATTGAATATAAAATCCCTCAATCTCCTTAAAAGTTAAATGGCCGGCTCAAAAGACTACGCTAGCTATCTTCGAATAATAAGAATTTGAAAAACTCTTCATACTGTGATAGAAACTGTTAGGTAATAGTCCGTAATAGTTCTCGTCAACCTGGGAAATCAAGGAAATGGTTCTACAAGGCCAAGTTCCAAGGTTCATAGGGTATGTCGGTAAGTAAACCAATTGCATGCTTACCGGTGAGGATTGACGGGGATGTGCCTCTACACATTTTTAAGACCAGCTTACGGACAACTTTTCAATCAATAGACTATCAAAATACAGTTTATGAACACAACGTCGTTTTGCTCAGTGATGGAAAAATATCGGCGGGGGATGGAGTTAGGATGTCAACAACATCACTTATTTATTTTTTGGTGCTGGAAATCCTAGTTCTTTAAACTTTACTGCCTTAAATTTCATGCAAAACTTAGTTTGAATAACTAAGCCTACGAATGCTTTCATGGTTGAGAAATTATAGTTACAGCTTTGTTACACAGTTATGAAGCTAATTAGGCTTTCAGAAATTATTGGGGGTGGGGGTTCCGCCGACCAATGTTTCGATAGGTGGAAGTGTCGTACTCTCAACCCCTTCCTCGGTCCCCCCACTGCTGCAAGCGTGGTCCATACTGTACTACACTTTTCTAAAGCAGTACTGTGATAACATCTATGCCAGTTTACCAAATTCGTCTTACTACCTTTTCAGGAAGTTTTTCGTACTGACCGCTTCTGATTTGAGGCACTGTATTACGATATTCCTCACGAGCAGCATGACCATAGAGGTACACTTTAATAAATCAAGAAAAGATAACAAGATCATGACAATAAAGGAAAATAGCAACAAAGAGACATTTACTGATTAAGTAAATCGCAAAACTAATTACAAAAAGTGCACAATTATATACATGCAGTCGAACCTCCCGTAAACAGACACGCTTTTAGTTATAGGGACCAGTGGATTTCATATTTTCTTGAGAACGCCCCTAACGGCATTTACTGAAGTAATTCACGTAAAAGTAAAGTGTATTATAGTAATACAGTCGAACCTCAAAGTATATTTACCTGGAACATTGAGTTCCTTAACCAGTCGTTCAGAAAATTGATGAGCACACTTTACACAATCGTCCATTGTAACTCCCTTGATAGGGATAAAAGGACAAACATCCAAAGCGCCAAGACGAGGATGAGCCCCTATATATAACGTAGTAATCTTTAGTAAATGAAATAAATCATAGGTCTGGAATAGTGTTAACCAACGACTGGTTTTCGTATTGGTCAATTGAATGATCATTATACACTGTTGGTCACTACAGTATGTGTCTTCTGCATGATTGGACAAGAAACTCTTTTATAATATAGCATTTGTAAATTCTGAACGCTGATTGGCTAAGAGCCGTGTTAATATAATTCAATGTCAACACGGAAACGTCGGAAAATTTCTTTCTTTATATTTCTTTGTGCTATATTATAAAACAAATATAAAACATTTTTTCCGTATTGATATATAGTTATATCAACACTCGTGGAAGTTGGGAAAACTCGAAATTGTATGAAAATACTCCGCCCTTCGGGCGTCGTGTTTCCATACAATTTCTCGTTTTCCCAATTCCACTCGTGTTGATAGAACTGTGGCTATGTTTACATTGTATCGGATCGGTTTTTGCTTCGTTCACGAAACGTTACGGCCCAAGTGTAAACAGCTTCCGCCCTCGCCCAACTAAATACAAAAATATTATAAGTGAGCAAGCTATACCCGCAAATAAGATTAGAATAGCAAGTCTTTGTTTCCCTGATGCCATCTTGAGTCACGTATTGAACCGAAAATTGCTCCGATTGGTGTTTACATTGCAATGAGAGCGTTGCAAAAACCGATCCGATACACAGCGCACCACTTCGAAGAGCGAACCGCCGCACCACCGGTTCGTTGCAGAAATTGAGACGATAACAACATTTCACATGTAAACAGAAGCCCTATCCGGTATGGTTTTTGCGTCGGACGCAAAGTGATCCGATACAATGTAAACATAGCCTGTATATCAACATGGAAAATATTTTGTATTTGTCAAATGTTGACCGTTTTTCGCTAAATATACCAATGATGATCGTCTTCGGTAAGTACTCTATTGTTATAGATAGGTTTTATAACGCGACATGTCAGACTATGTGATTGGCTGGCTTGCGGTAACGTTGCCACGCCCACAAGGGTCAAAACGGAGCACATAGCAACAGAAAAGAGTATCCAAAGGAAGAAAACCAAGGCACGACCTCCATGGAAAGTTAGGGCTTACTGTAGAACGGGCCAAAGTCAACGTGACGTATATGCATGTAGTGTACATATGTATCAGTGTATTAATTAATTATGACTGTACAACTCATCCAATTTTGCCCTTCCTTACAATTACTACAAAGTTTCTTTCAAAACATTGCATTTAAAGGTATTTGACACAGAGATGAATGGCTATCACTGTTTCAATTTTACTGAAAAACTTTCTTACGAAATGTAGGCCCTAAGCAACTAAAAAATGTCAAATTATCACAACCCGCACACCCGATTACCTATATATACATGAACTTACGGTTACAGCTCAACAGCTAGCCTCTGTAGCTCAGTTGGTTAGAGCGCTGCACCGGAATTGCAGGGCCGTTGGTTCAATTCCTGCCAGAGGACCTTGTGCTGCATTTTACGCAGTCGTTCCTGGTTAGGTCTTAAAATGTATATATACTCAATTGGATTACAAACCCTAACATTCTAATATTAATTCCACTAAGTGAAGTGCAAGAATCCAAATCCTTGAAGTCCACCTTATCAAAACCCGCACACCCGATTACCTATATATACATGAACTGAGGGTTACAGCTCAACAGCTGGTCTCTGTAGCTCAGTTGGTTAGAGCGCTGCACCGGAATCGCAGGGCCGTAGGTTCAATTCCTACCAGAGGACCTTGTGCTGCATTTTTCGCAGTCGTTCCTGGTTAGGTCTTAAATGTATATATACTCACTTGGATTACAAACCCTAACATGCATGTAATATAAGCTTTTCAAAAGTATTTCTGACAGTGTCTCATCATACTTTTATCTTCATAGTGTATTAAATCTGCACAACTCCACAAATTCTTTTTTGTAAATATTAATTATATATCGTACTCTAAACCATTTCTTTCCTTTATTTCATTTGACTGTATTAAGAAGTAATTTCAACATGTAATATATGCTGAACATAACTAGAGGTTATGGTTTCTAGTACCGGCAGGTCTCTAGACCTATCACTATCTTGTACATAGGGGGGAAACCCCTAGCAGGATCTGATGATTGTGTGAATGTTGTTTCTTCTTCGTTATACAATGAAACATTTAATATATTATTCTGTTCCTTCAAGGAATAGTTTAATTTGCTTTTCCCTCGAGACCAGCACGCTAACCATAGTTTCTTGGGAGCAAACAATGCATGTCAGTATACATTACAATGCTATCATAACTTGTCATTTTTGTGCGACCACTATTGACTTTTTCTGTATACACTGCAATAAACAGACCTTTCCAAAACTGGATGACGAAAAAACTTTGAACATTGGGAAGGGTAAAGGCTGTATTCCAGTGGAGTGTTTTTTATATTACATATACTTATACATATGGAAAAATTGAAATCATTTTTTACAAGTATTAATTACCTCAACAAATACACATTAAACAAAACTATTCAGACATTTTGTTATAATGAAATACAATTAATTTAGTTATTTCAACTTTTGAAATAACAATTGAAGGAACAATGAAAAACACGTAACTGCATGGAGCGTGTGCAGCCCTAAGGCTAGTTTAGCCACCTCCGCAGGCATCTCTTAATCGTCGAGAACTTATATAATTTAGTTCTAGGTAAGTACCACGAGATGCCTGCTAAGGAGGCTAAGGCTAGTTATATCCATGATATAAATTACAGGCTAAAAGTTCTGTAAAATGTTACATATTCCAAATGCCTACCATACCTTGTACCCAGGCGTCTCTTTGTAAAAAACAGTGATGCGCGTTAACGGGGGTCAAATAGTAAAATGCCCGATGGAATAGTACGCTTCATGATCACGGTATTCCATTTGTATAGTGTAGAAAAAATTGTGGTACCAAATATCGACAAGCAATTAACGGTTTTCCTCTTGTATAATAATATCACTTTATACCAGACTTTGAGCCACTGTTCCACTTCGTAGCTAAGCCTAAGTTATTGTTCGCTTGCAGTACTTGCATATTCTAATTTCTTTGCAGCAATATTAACTCAATTAACTTTGCTACAATAACAAGACAGACAGACTGGCGTGCCCTGTCGTCAAAAACAACTACTTTAGTGTTTATTTTTTACGTCTCAAACGTTATACAAAATGTGGCTGTATGTATCGAGCGTAGAAGAACCGTCAGCCAAGCTCCAAAAATTGGACAATAACAAAAAGGCAAGAGACAATGCGTATATATGGCCGCACAAAAAGAGCACGAAAGTTTGTACCGTCGTGGAAAGATAAATAAAGTGGGTAACCTACAACAGTGATCGAACTTGACAAAATGTTTTGTGAATTTTGTCTTGTTCATCTGACTGTGGCAAATAAGAATGGATCGTTTTTTATCGGTACAATAACTGTACATGTTTATTTTTTGTTATTCAATTATTCAGTTCACTTTAGGAGTCGCAAGGATGATTTCACGAAAATCAGAACATTTGCACGGACCCTGCATGAACAGGTTATCAGAAACAGTACATTAAGGAATAGTGGGTTTTCAGATGGAATAGTAAATTTCAAAATCTACTATTCCGGCTGTATACTGTAGTACAAAAAAATTTAAATTTCGACCCCTGGTGTATGACAAGTTTACATGAAGTATTGTAGTGGTGAGAGAAAGGCGAAGGGCCTGATAGGAAAAGGAGGTACGTACCCTTCCAACAGCCCCTTTGCATGTTGCCTGCTTGCCTGCCTGCCTGCCTAAATACTTCATGTATCCCTAAATAGTATATATATTCCCTATTATATTTAAAGCACCTGGGCTGCCTCGTACCCAGACATCTCTTTTATGTAATTTTGTTTAATTCATTATTAATGTAGTACTACACCCTTTTATATAATTTCCACTGAAGATTCTTGCGCCTTCTTCTTCTGGCGAGATTCTGGTGAGCTACATTATTCTCTATAGCCGCGTTTCCATCTGCTTTTCCTCTACTTTCCTCTCACCGCTTTTGTGCTCGTTTTTTAAATGGGTCGTTCCAGAGAAGATCCATACTCCCCCCACGGAGGAAATTTCTGCCGTCCGGAGGGGGAGGGGAGAAAAAAATGTTTCTGATAATAGTAAATGTATTAGGACATCCAAAGGGGGTAGGGGGTTAACTTCCTATTTCCTCTGTGGGGGTGGTATGGATGTTTTCTAGAATGAACCAATAAGGCTGTAAGAGACTAAGAGACGCCTGTGGAGGAGGCAGGCGCCTGGGTACAAGGCAGTTGCCTATCAATAATTAATGCCTGATACTAATATACCAGCCTGATTCTAATCCAGACTACAGAGTAGGGCAATTGCGCCCCCGAGATTTGTTATGTCACAAATTTTAGCACCCCCAAAATATATTATGCAACAATTTTCCATGCACTATCCGCCCATCGAGTAACATTCTTGTACTAGGAATCTTAAAAAAGTGTGTATATTTTCCTGCATATATTATTATTATTAACACATGCAGTTCTTGAAAATACTCTTCAATGCCGAAGGTTGCCCATTAAAAGCCAGAAGTTAACAGAACTTGATGGTGTAATGGTATATTGGTGTTCATAGTATAACTTATCTAGTTATTTACTATTTATGCATGTGTGACGGCAGCGAGTCTCAGGTCCGAATACAGGTTCGTAACTAAAAATTCTAAAATATCAGAAATTGTCGGGGGCTTATTATTTATTTCCCGCGTGTCTGCATGCACATAAATTAAGAAGCATGTCTTCTGCAATCCAGTAAGTGTCAGCGGTGTATTTTATGTTGATTTTGATTACTTGATGTTACTAGATGTTGATGTGATTTTACTATGCCGCAGTCGCACCCGAGTTGACTTGCGAAGAAAACAAAAAAGATGGGAAACAAATTAAGCCATTTTCTTCTTGTTTCAGCAATGACTGCCCTTTGGGAGGCTGGCCGCCCGAGTCCGCCCCTTGGGCATTTTTGCACTCCTGCCCCGAGATTTTTCAGCTTTCCGCTCCCGAGATCTCTGCGAAAACTGACGTACTCTGGAGTCTGGATTCTAATACCAATTGTGGTTCAGGAATCTCTTATTATAAAGATAATAAGGCTAGGGGGCGGGTTGGGGGTGGCTAGGGGGTGCTTATAAGGCTGTTCCAAAACATATAAAAATAACCTACCGATATGATTTTTCATATCAATCAGCTCACTAGCTTTAAGAGCACCATTTAATGCTCCTTCAACTACACTTTCTGGAGTGCCAAAGAATGTATACACGGTTCTATTTGTTGAAGAACCCGCATCGACATCGACCAAAACACAGCCCTTTGTTTCTGATATAGCATTGGCTATACTGTTGATTATTGTAGAATCGCAGCCCTCTGAAAAGTTAGGAACGCATTCGACAACTTTTTCTGATAAATCCATCCTTCTTAAACAATAAATAACAAGTAATAAATAAATATTTGTTTGTTTTGTACAAATATTAGAAATATACAACAACGTAATAAACATGTACACGTGAAAGGTCTAAGGGATAACATGGGATATATAACTACACGAAAAGTTTTTTTTTATGAAAATGAAACAAAAATGGCGCCGTTTTGATGGGTGATTTCCAGATTTTCTGTGTTAGTTTGACAGAGTTTAAATTGATTCTTATTATTTAACTAGTTTTTCGATGTAGTATTTCGTTGTGATAATGTGTACGCTAACGGAAGATGTAGTTTTGTCGAGATCGCGTGCCACATCGCTTGGCAATGTGAAGAAATTAAATTGCTGGTAAGGCATTTTGCTATTTTAAAGTTAGCTTAAATTAATTAACTACTTTTATGTATTATTATTTATTTGTTGACATATTAAATTCCCATGAATTTGCAAATTACATGTTTGTAAGAATGTGGCTATTAATTGAGTGATTGTAGGTTTGAAATTGAGAAATACTACAGGTAAGCTGCTTTTTATATATATAATTAATACAGGGTCCTACTAGTACTATAAAATACTGCCCAGGGACCAGACTGTATTTTCTGCACCGCGTGCAGAAGATCTTCCGCATGCATTTTTAACAGACACACCCATTTGGTGCGCAGCGCGCAAATTTCAGACTCAAATTTTTTCAACGCACATGTGCGGCAAGCAGGAAACACACATGCCCCATGGTACTACCGAGCAGCTCTTTCCAACGACTATAAAGGGTATTGTATACTCAGTCATATCCTCATGCGGTGGGACATAAAACAGAGCTATATGAAGTAGATTCTTGTATTCTCATAGTTAAATCATTTTTATTTGCGGGCTCAACCTTGATTGTTATGTAACTAAGTGTGGAACTCAACTGAGTGTGAAAAACTGAATGAAAAGACTCAAAGTTGAAACAAGACATGAAAATCTCAAGATTGCCTTAAGAAAATGTAATTTTATGGCTCATATTTTGCCTTTACGTAGCACGAAGCGCGCATTTTTTGTCCGCCATTTTCCTTCGCGCGCATTTTGCAAAGAATGAAATCTGGCACCGGGGACGCGCATGAGAACGCTTGGGGATGTACAAGATAGTATAAATCAGTGCACAATCCTTTTTGAGTCTCTATGAGGCATTATATTAATGAAAAATAACACTATAAAAGTGATTTTCAACCAGCCTAGCAACAAGCTAGTGGTGAAACGTGGTTGCCTACACAGGAAGCTGTGCGAAAAATGAGATTATATTTATTATAAGTGTAAATATTTGCTGTTAAAATTAAAAATTAAGACTAGTTAAATTTGTTTAAAATATTAACTACTGAGAACAAGTCACAAAAACATGAGGCTTTGGAATTCCCTTTATATTTAAACATTCAAATATTTAATCATAACAATTGCTCAAGAGTTCAAAGCTACTGTAAGTTGAAAACTTGCATTTTTAAAATTAAGAAGGCTTTTCTTTGGACTTTGACTATATATTAAGTAAACCTAATTATTTTATATATCTTAGAGTGGAACTAGACAAATATGTATCCTAAACTAGACTCTAGAGTAGATAAAACGTTTTTCAGCCTTTATGTTAGTAAAATATAGTTTTTATCTACTCTATCAATGCTTTTTATCTACTTTAGAGTCTAGTTTAGGATATATTTTAGTCTAGTTCCACTCTAAGATATTACGAAAGTCATCGAACTGTGGAATTGCATAAAAAATTTGTATAACAACCACTCCCACAAACGTCTATGACCGCGCCTACATAGTTTTGCATGTTTACAATTCTAATTTACCTAATAATTATATTTTAGGGGCAGTGGTCTTTCTGATGTAAGTATTTAAACAATCACATCTTAAAGTCTTATAATTTGGCATTATACTATTCTAGCTGTGTACTTCTATTTAATTTTTGCCAAACTGTTAAGTCCAAGCCTTTGAAAGAAGTTGTTAATTAATGCTTAAAGGTTGTATGTAGTTGCCATCTGGTAGTATGTTATGAATACAGTCAGGCGGATAGTAGGGGAAAAACTCACCAAATCAGGGGGTAATTCTACTTTTGCCTTCATATTGTGCTTCTAAAGCTAATAAGTACATTTCTGTATGTCAGTGGCGTTCAATTTTTTGGTGAACTACTGCAGACATGTTTTTCTTCAATTTTCCTATTAAACTCCTATATTGTTAAAAACGCAAAATTTCAGTTACATTTATAGAAAAAAACATTTGCAAGCTTTCAAAAAACTACATATGAGCTTGGCCTTTCAAGCGTTGTTCAAGTTATTTCTGTTCCAAAATGTGAAAATAGGCCCAAAACTTGCAAAAATCCTGGGCACTAGTCTGGAAACACCTTTTCTGATTTTCAAGACATTTGAATACCGCTGACATACAGAAATGTACTTAATTACCAGCCTTCTATAAGGCAAAATGGAATTGTCCCCCGATATGGTGAGTTTTCATTCATTTTTGATCCTCTATCTGCCTGACTACAAAACCATTAGATCGTACGAAAAAAAAAACTGGCCCGAAAAACGTGTCATGTTCTTTACATCAAAATATTCAGGAATCAGAGCTGCAAATAAATATTTGACTTGATAGGACATTTGTCCGACCACTTTCAATTTTCGTCGGACATATATACGTCACAAGATATATAGAGAATAATACATGGGTGCACGGAAATACCAGATTTATTTCGAGTGTTGAACATGATATCTCACGAGTGAGCGCAGCGAACGAGTGAGATATCATGTTCGACACGAGAAATAAATCTGGTATTTCCAAGCACCCATGTATTTTTCTGTTTATTATATAAACAAAATTCAGTGAAAAACAATAAAACGTCCATGGCAATGCGTTTTACAACAAATGATATTTTCACACGTAAAAATATCGTATTTTTTACGTGTGTTTAAATACGATTTTTCTCAGTGGCCAAAAACTCTATATAACACTTATGTTTATATAATAAATATATATAAGTCGAGACAAGTATGTATAGCCATTCCGGGGCAACGTTAAGTAATTTGCTAGACTGCCTCGTAAATTTTCTTGCAAAATGTAAATTGAGTGAATTTGCAATCGGATTTTGTCACAGCACAAAAAATGTATAATGTGACAATATATTTTTTTGATCGGACCAATGTCCGATCAAAATTACTTTCGCTCGGATATTTGCCGAATTTAGTCGGACATTGTCCGATGTCCGACAGTAATTTGCAGCCCTGGGAATGCAACCACATTCCTAACATTGTGAAATTGACATCTTTGGAATGGCGACATCTGATTGGTCTACAAGAGAAATATTGCTAAGATTGGAAATGAGGCACATTTCATGTCTTTTGCGGCTATCATTGGTGCCAGAAATGGGATAGAGGCCAGAGGGCTCCAATTTTCATGTCTGAAATGCCTGAAAATTAATGCCACTATTAAAATATCTGTCAACAGGTTGGTTAGCATTGTTACCAATTAGCCTTTCTCACGCCGCCATTTTTGGGTGGCTTTTCAGCCGAAGTCTGCGAGATAAGTCCACATAACAGCGACTTTTTATAATTTTTTTGACGAATGATGGTAAATTTGCTTTGTAAAATGGTTAGTTTATTTTGAAATATTGCTTTTCACATTGTTTTAATTGTCTGCATTGGTTAACGAGAATTAGATGCCACCCAAAAATGGCGGATATTCGTCATCGTGAGAAAGGCTAATTTATTACAGCATGTTGATCATGCTGAGCAAACTCAAAAGTCTTGAAAGTCTTCCAGTTTCCCCAATATAAAACATGCGACATCTACTGCATGAGATGCAGTAAATGAGATGGGAGGAGGTGTACGTGAAATGGTGCTTGACATGATACTTAGATTTTGGTGCTGGAATTTATAAATTCACAGGTTTTACATCGAGGCTGAGGAAAAGGAAACGTGCCATTATGTGACGACAAACCTGTGGTAGGGATCGGAGCTATGAACTAGGGTCTCAAAAATATTTTTGCTGTGTCAAAAAGAGACTATGCGGTTATCAGAGAAAATGGAAGATGATTGAGAGTTGTTTTTTAAGATATAGAAATTCTTTCTAATGACATCCCTTACTTTAAAATTAAAAATAGCTTTAAGTTATATTTTTACGTATTTTCCATTTCGGTTATTTCCATTTGGAAATGTGAAGAAACCAATAGATTGATTTTGTAAAAAAAACGTTTGGTTAACCAATAAATTGCCTCAGCCTAATCTGGTACATAAACTTTCATATCAAAAGAGCAACATAGTTGATTTTAATTGTTTTTGTTTGTGGAAACACCACGTAAATTTATTACTGCAGTAATAAATTTACGTGGTGTTTCCACAAACAAAAACAATTATATTTTATCGCCATGCAAACATTCAAAGAACTTATAGTTGATTTTACAATTTAATTTGTTTTTAGATTTCTATATTACGAAAGATGCCCAATGTTGAAGTTGTAACGTTAAGGTATTATTAATAAGTGATATGTTTGTATGAAAGCTGTATGGTCAATGGTCGTGTGCTGTACAAAAAAAAAATACCAGAGTATATTATTGGAGTAAACGTACTTTGCAGTATATAATTATTATCTATGCTATCATGTTATATATTATTGCAAATTAACCCTAGTTGCTCGAAAGATGAGGATCCCTCATTTACCAACTAAATAGTTGAATATGAGTTTGTGTATTGTATATGCACATAGTTCAATATGTGTTTGTGTATTCTATATGTTTGTGAGTATGTATATGTGTGAGTGGATGTACGTTATTGGGGCTACAGTATCAGTGCACAGGACTTTGCAATAGACCTTTCTGGTAATTACGTCACAACTACATTGTTTTCAACTTAGGACCACCTTAAATCACGCTTAAATGGAATGGAGTTCAAGTTTTTTTCTCACTGGCTATGCGCAAATAAGCAGAACATCCTTCTTTAACACATGCATGATAAAAAATTTATTATTTTGACCCGCAATAAATACGGGAATAAGCTTTAACACGAAAACGAGGCTGGGGGTCTCAAAGGGGCCTCGTTTTCGTGTTAAAGCTTGGTCTCACATTTATTGGTCAAAA